GTGTGTGTGTGTGTGTGTGTGTGTGTGTGTGCGTGTGTGTGTGTGTGTTGAGCTGTTGTGTAGACCTGTGTGTGCATGTGTGTGTGTGTGTGTTGAGCTGTCGTGTAGACCTGTGTGTGTGTGTGTGTCCTCAGGTAACAGCGGTGTGTTGGTTGGAGAGTTTAACACGACGACTCAGCAGCTCCGACTGATGAACCACCTGCTGAAGTTCAAAGGTCAGAACCGTCTGATTTGATCAAAGTCCTGCATCTGTTTGTTTGTTTGTTTTGTTTGTTTTGTTGGTTGGTTGGTTGGTTGGTTGGTTGGTTGGTTGGTTGGTTGGTTGGTCAGTTTGTCGGTCGGTTTGTTGGTTGGTTTGCTGGTTGGTTAGTTGGTTGGTTGGTTGGTTGTATTATTGGTTTGCTGGTTGGTTTTCTGGTTGGTTGGTTTGTTGGTTGGTTGGTTGGTTGGTTTTCTGGTTGGTTGGTTTGTTGGTTGGTTTTCTGGTTGGTTGGTTTGTTGGTTGGTTGGTTGTATTATTGGTTTGTTGGATGGTTTATTGGTTGGTTTTTGGTTAGTTTGTTGGTTGGTTTATTGGTTGGTTGGTTGGTTGGTTGGTTGGTTGGTTGGTTGTATTATTGGTTGGTTGGTTGGTTTGTTGGTTGTATTATTGGTTGGTTGGTTGGTTTGCTGGTTGGTTGGTTGGTTGGTTGTTTGGTTTGCTGGTTGGTTGGTTGGTTGTTTGGTTTGCTGGTTGGTTGGTTGGTTGGTTGGTTGGTTGGTTGGTTGGTTGGTTGGTTGGTTGGTTGGTTGGTTGTTTATAAAACCTTTACATGGCAGAACTCCTTCTGTCTTTGGGTCTAAATGAGACCTCTAGACTCATTCAGACCTAAAACTGACCAGACTTCTGGATGCTGCAGGTCCAGGACCAGCCAAAGACCAGACCTTGGTCCGTCTGCAGCACCGGCCCGTCAGCCTCTTCCTGTACTTCATCATGTCATCAGCTGCTGCCGTCATCATCTTCATCACTCTGATGGTCCTCTGCTTCGTCATCATCAACCACAGATGCTGGTAGAGGTCCTGCAGACCCACCTGAAGGTACTGTCTTGGTCTGACGCATGCTCAGGTGTCCCTCTTTCTCCAGGTCTGGTTCCTTCCAGGACCAGTTTCTCCTGCTGGGCCTCCTGCTCTGCTCCTCCTCTGTGCTCCTCTCTGGACTGGACGAGACCTCTCTGTCTGACGAGGTGCTGGACGTTCTCTGCTCCGTGAGTTCAGGACAGACTTTATTCACCCAGAACCAGGACTGAGTGAAGGATCAGGTCTCCCTGTTTACCTGATGATGATTGGTTGGTCTGCAGGCCCGTCTCTGGACTCTCTCAGTGGGTCACTCTGTGGGCTTCATGGTTCTGTTCACCAGAATCTGGACACTGTACTCTGCCTGCAGCATTGAGCCCAAGGTAAGACTGACAAGATCTCCGAGATCCAGGTTCTGATGTGGTTCTGGTGAGGTTCTGATGTGGTTCCCCTACAGCCCATAGGCTGTGCTCTGATCTGGGTTCTCCTGCTGGACCTGTTGGTTCTGAGCTCCTGGCAAATCCTGGATCCACTCAGACGGGTGGTGCTTCATCACAGCACAGAGGTGAGGATCTGTTTCAGATCCAGTCCTGATCCAGTCCGGATCCAGTCCTGATAACTTCATATTTTCCCTTTAGTAACACGTTGAAGTGGTTCTGGATCAGTTCTCCAGACTTTTCTAGACTTTTGGTTCTTGATGTTGAAGAGTAGCCTGGTTCTTACCTTCCTACACAGCTCCGCTCAGTTCTAGTTTCCTTCTCTGCTCCGTCTGGGACTTCTCCCACAGACAAGGATTTCACTGGCAGATTTTTAGCCGGGCCAATCAGAGAACAGAACGTTGATTTTCTGCACAGTCTCTCTTGTAGTTTATTTTACCTGGACCAATCAGAGAACAGAAGGAGGAGCTTTGTACGATGTCGACTTTCTGCTCAGTGTCTGCTAGTTATTTTAGCATACAGCAGTGGAGGAAGTGAATGAAGCCAGTCTGTGTTGATAAGACTTCAAATTAAATTAAATTTGTCTGACAAAGCAGCAGCTCTCATTTACAGTCGTCTCGTTCAGCTCCGTATATTTCTCCTCTCAGTAGGGTTGTTTACAGCACACGTCATTTCCGGTTAGCTTCTTAGCTTAGCCTCCATCACAGCGACATACGTCACATCCAACTGATCCAATCATTTTAAACTTCAGCAGAGGCCACGCCTCCTGCAGGAATCACTTCTCTATATATGAGTCCAGACCCTCGTACGAAGCAAAGTGAAGCACAGGGTCTGGTTTAAACCAGGCTAGTTAAAGAGGTTCTGCTCTGACTCCTCTGTTTGTCAACACAGATAAAGATTGTTTGTTTGTTTGTTTGCTTGTTTGTTTGTTTGTCAGGAGTACCTGGACGATCAGGACGTCATCCTCCGCTTGTTTTCTGAGCGCTGCAGCAGCAACAACATGGAGCTGTGGTTGACTGCTGTCTGTGGATACAGAACACCTCTGCTGGTTACTACACAAAAACTACACACAAACTACACACAACACAAACTACACTGAAACTACACAAAAACTACACACAACACAAACTACACACAACACAAATTACACTGAAACTACACAAACTACACACAACACAAACTACACTGAAACTACACACAATCTACACACAAACTACACTCAAACTACACACAAACTACACAAAAATTACACACAAACTACACACAAGCTACACTGAAACTACACACAAAACAAACTACACTCAAACTACACACAAACTACACACAAACTACACTCAATCTACACACAAACTACACTCAAACTACACACAAATTACACTCAAACTACACACAAGACAAACTACACACAAGACAAACTACACTGAAACTACACACAACACAAACTACACTCAAACTACACACAAACTACACAAAAATTACACACAAACTACACACAAGCTACACTGAAACTACACACAAAACAAACTACACACAAACTACACTCAAACTACACACAATCTACACACAAACTACACTCAAACTACACACAATCTACACACAAACTACACACAAGACAAACTACACTGAAACTACACACAACACAAACTACATTCAAACTACACACAATCTACACACAAACTACACTCAAACTACACACAAACTACACAAAAATTACACACAAACTACACACAAACTACACAACACAAACTACACTGAAACTACACACAAGACAAACTACACACAAAATACACCCAAACTACACAAAAATTACACACAATCTACACTTAAACTACACAGAAACTACACACAAACTACACAGAAACTACACACAACACAAACTACACACAAACTAAACACAACACAAACTGCAGATGAACTAAAACAAACTACAGTGTAAACAACATCTTTATTAACTTCCTGTTTCCTCTTCAGGCTCTCGGCTGTTTCCTGGCCTGGACCATCAGATCCTGGGACCTGGGTCCAGCGGGCGCCAGCGGTAAGCTCCTCCCCCTCAGTATGTTGGGCGTGACGGCGTTCAGCGTGTCGGGCGTGTTGGCCTCGCTGCTGACGTCCCATGATCCTCCTCTTCAGTTCTGTGTGAGCAGCATCCTCATCCTCAGCTGCAACCTCTTCATCCTGGGCGGGCTGTTCGGACCTCAGGTCAGTCCTCACACCTGGTCCTCAGACCTCAGACCTGGACCTTAGACCTGGACCTGGACCTGTTGTTGTTGTTGTTTTCATTCTGCTGATTCAGATTTTCACTCTTTGTTTCTTTCATTCTCAGATTTTTTCTGTTTTGTGGAGCAGAAAGGAGCTGCAGGAAGAAGCTGCAGATGAGGAAGAGGAGGAGCAGCTGAGGAGGTCCAACCAGGAGCTGAGGAGTCAGGGAGCTCAGGTAAACAAGGAGTTCAGGAAAACGTATAGGTCAGGAAAATATGGAGGTCATGTCAAGCTCTTAGCTACTGTTAGCTGCCTTCAGCTAACTTCATGCTACATTCAATTAGCTTTTAGCTGATATTTTTGGGTGTTTTCAGTTTTCGGCTGTTCTGTGTTCACCTTCAGCTGGATGTTCTGATAGAAACCATCACCATGCAGCTGGCTGAGATGTTTCAGGATGAAGCTGGAGGAAAACCTGGTAACGTCACTCGGTTCAGTCACATAATCCAGGTTTCGCCTGCTGAATGATGTTTGTTTGTTTCTTTCAGCAGAAGCTGGAGTTCAGTCTGTGACTCATGAAGCTCAGATCTGTTCTCCAATCCAACACCTGCAGAGAAAAACTTCTAGTCCTGACGACATCAACTCTCCTGAACAGTGAGTCAAACAGGTGGACTTCCTGTTCTGTGGAAATGTTCAGGGCTCCTTAGCCCACACTGTGACCTTTGACCTCTGAGGGGATGTAAGAAAACATCAACTGGATGAAGAAGTTCAGCTGAGTCCAACTAACAGCTGTGACACTGATCCAGGACTCTTTTGTCAGATATTTTCAGACTTTAGCTCCTCCTGTAGGACTGTGGACCACAGAAAGTCTTTTATCTCAGTAGTCTGGGTTTGGAGATCCTCAGGGATGGTGACTCAGTCCTCAGTCATTCTGTCGTTCACTTTGACTCGAGGAACTCATTTAGACTGTTGATTGACTGTTTAGGATGTTGAGTCCTTAATGTTGAATTAATGATAATTTATTTAGTCGTATTAACCAACAAATATTATCTGTGGCCATTTAAAAAACAAAAAGTTAATAAATAAACAAAGAAAATTAGAGAATTCTTTTAATTTCTTTGACCACCTGTTTTAACTAAAACATATGGTTACATTCACTTCCTGTTTGAAGTAAATCTTTGTGTTTGTCCTCTCTCAGAGTTGGGCGTCGTCTGTCCGTCCAGCTGCCCATCCTGCATCATTCCTACCTGCCCCTCATTGGTGGCATCAGCACCAGCAGTTCCAGCCAGTTCAGCAGCCAAGATGTGTTTTTTCCCCATCACGACAACTTCCTGTATGCCTGACTGGACAACAGAATGACCTCGTTACTGAAAACCAGAGTCCAGATCTACGGCAGAAAGAAACAATTATTTACATTATAAATATTTAAATTTGTTTCTGCTATAAAACTGTTTCCTTCCTTCAAAAAATATTTAAAACGTTAAATGTTTTACACAAGCTTTTGTTTTTTAAAGTGTCAGTTTTTACTGTTTTTACTAAATAAAATGGCATTAAAACAAAACAAGTGGGAAAAAGTTTTTTTCTTAAATTCCGTCTTTTTTACTGATGTCTAAAAGAAAAAATTAAAACTATTAGTTTTACCAGAAAAGTTTTTCCTCCTTTTTTCCGTCATTGCCGTCACTCTGTGATGCTTCAACAGGAAGTAGAGGGACTACTCCTGTAAAAATAAACATTTTATTTTACATTCATCAACTCTGTGAATTGTCTCAACTTCTTGAGTTGTAAAGAAGATGATTACCTTCATGTTACATCTTGACCACAACTGGCCAGAAAGTAACAAGGGGCCTCATCCGGGCCAGGAAGTCAAAGGGTTGGGGGCTCATCCGGGATACATCCTGGCCACACTTGGACAGGAAGTAACAGGTTTGGGGGCTTGTCCAGGATACCTTCTGCCACACCTGGACAGAAGGCAACACAAAATGGGGGCTCATCTGGGATATATCCTGGCCACACCTGGACAGGAAGTAANGTCCGGGATACCTTCTGCCACACCTGGACAGAAGGCAACACAAAATGGGGGCTCATCTGGGATATATCCTGGCCACACCTGGACAGGAAGTAACATTGATGGGGACTCGTCCGGGATACTAATCTCTTTTAGATTAAACAAAAAGTTTATTTGTATTACTTGATTGATAAATTTTAGCTGATTTAAATTTCTGGACTTTTGTAGCTGAATTTTATCTTGACTGAATGTTAAAGTTTTGTTTGAACACCAGCTCACATTCAGGGATGTTTTCACCTGACAAACAGATGAAGCATGTATAAAGTAAACAAAGGGGAAACATTTATTTTGAACTGGAGAGTAAATACCAACTGGGCTGCATCTGGTAAAAACTAGTTTGTTGTCTCTCAGAGACAAACTGATGGACATGTGGACAGAAGGACTTAACATTATTTAACTAAACACTCATTTGATTTGCTAGAAAAAGAAAATATTACAAAAACACACAAAAAGAGTTATTTGTCTTGTGGTTATGTTTTCAGACCAGATCGGATTTTGGCACAAAGACTTTTGGAACGTTTAGAAAATTTACTAGTTTTCTGCTTGTTTAAAAAAGTTGGGATTTAATTTGCATCAAACTGCAGACGTTTTCACAAAAAACTCAAAACATCAAGAGTCAGAAACTTGAAAAATAAGTCTTTTCAAACATATAAAGAGAACAATAAGTTTATTTCAGGTTCTGAAGTTCACCTGAGGAGAACCAGCAGAGAAGCTGAAATCAGTCCAACTCTCAGAGCTAAAGTCCAGTAGATATTTGTTCTGTCAAAGTTTAACATGTTTTTTTTTTCTCCTGCTGATCTGACACAATCAGCTGTTTGCAGCTGGATCCGTTAGTTCTGAACAGGGGGGGGGGACAGGTCCTGGACTCTAAATCCTCCTGAGGGTCTCTCTGAGCTGAGATTGGAAGTCATGATGAGTTCCTGTAAGATCCTCCTGTGGGCTGCAGCCCTGACCCTGCTGGACCTGTCTGTGGAGTCCTCCTCAGGAGGTAAGACTCTGGACTCATATTAAGGTCCTGTTCTGAGGTCTGCAGACTCTGGACTCATATTAAGGTCCTGTTCTGGGGTCTGAAGACTCTGGACTCATATTAAGGTCCTGTTCTGGGGTCTGAAGAACTCTGGACTCATATTAAGGTCTGGTTCTGGGGTCTGCAGACTCTGGACTCATATTAAGGTCTGGTTCTGGGGTCTGCAGACTCTGGACTCATATTAAGGTCTGGTTCTGGGGTCTGCAGACTCTGGACTCTTCAGCAGTCTTCCATGATTTGCCTCAAAGTGAAACTTGAGTAAAAGTACAAGGACGTCAGAATGTTTTATATTTAAACGTCTCGTCCACTTAGTTAAACTCACTTTATCTGTGAGACACATTTTTTTAGTTTGTTTATTAACAATGAGCCAAAATAAAAAAACAACTTTCAACTTTTTATCTTTTTAATGTGAGGAGTAGAAATAAAACATCAGATGAAAAATAATCACTCAAGTAAAGTACAGATAACCAAAATTTCTACTGAAGTACAATAACAATGTGTTTGTATTTTGCAACAAAGTATTTGTACTTGGTTACTTTACTCTCTGACAGGAAGCTACAGTAACTATAACTACGACCTGTCGGGTCAGGCTCTCACAGATCTCTACAACCGTCGGGTGTTTAAAGCTGAGAGGGTGGAGAGACCGCTGGGTGGACTTCCTGTCTCCATCAGACCCATCAGTCACACCGGAGTCCGGTCTGGAGAACCTTTAGCTTGTCTTTATGTCACAGCCAGCTGCCTTCAGCTACTATCAGCTGAAATATTTTTATAACGAGCAGCTGAAGCTGAAGAGGTTTTTGTGTTTTTGTCTCTCAGGGTGACCCTGGACGACGGCTCTCAGTGGCTGGTCCATAAAGGAGACGGGTTTGGACTGTCCTCTCAGACCGTGGCGACCGATGCTCGACACATGAGCTCAGCCTGGAGGGTGAGTTCAGAACTGATTTACACTAGACCCAGAACCAAGTCTGACCCAGAACCAAGTCTGACCCAGAACCAAGCCCAACCTCAGACCCATGCTTCGGTAAAGAACAGCCTCTTTGACTCTGGTGGACTGTTCGATAACTGTTAACTTTTTATTATTTATCATTATTTAACTCGGTAAGTCCCGTTGAGGTCACAGATCTCTTTTTTCTGGGTCTGAAGGCTACCTGTTGTACAGGTTTTTCAGGGGGTGGGGGACACCAGAGTACCTGGAGAAAACCCATGCAAGCACAGGGAGAACATACAAACTCCCCACAGAAAGACCCCAAGTCCAAACCCAGGACCTTCTTGCTGTGAGGCGTCAGTTCTAACCACTGAACCATTGTGCTGTCCAAACCTCAGAGGGGCCGTCCACAGGGAGGAGTGACCTCACCTGTGTTGGCTCCTGGTTGTCATCAGTTTACTAAATGAGTTGAATGGATCTAGACTTCATACACAGGGGTATGCAGATGACCTGGTCATACTTGTAGAAGGCTTCTGCCTGGGTACTGTTTGTAACCTGATGCAGAGRGGACTAAACATAGTATCCAGATGGTACCAGGAGCAGGAACTTTCTGTTAACCCAAACAGAACTGGTTCTTCTCACTCATAAGGAGTAAAGGAAAGGTTACTCACCTCCAAAGTTGGGGGGTGTAGAACTCTCCCTGACAGAGTCAGTTAAACTCTTGGGTGTCTATCTAGACAGGAAGTTTAACTGGAAACATGTAAATGAAAAGTGTAAGAAGGCAGCAACGTGCCTCCACCAGTGCTGGAGAATAACAGGTAGTCGTTGGGGTGCTACCTCAAAGGTTATCAGGTGGATCTACACGGCCATAGTCCACCCCATGCTATGCTATCTGCTTTAGTGTGGTGGGTTCCAGTCCAAGTTGGGGTGGGAAGAGTGATGCTCACCCATGTGCAACGAATGTCCTGCCTGAGCTTCACAGGTTCTATCAGAACAACACCCACTGCAGCCATGGAAGTCTCTCTACAACGGACATGTCTCCCAATCACTTCTACTGTTTTACAGATGGATCCCTTCTGAAGGGCTCAGTAGCTGCAGGGCTGATGATTTTACACAACCATAGTAAGACAGAGCATAAATACCCAACTGCAACTGTATCTGAAGCTGAGATATCTGCAGTCCATCAGTGTGTGTCACCTCTCATCAGTGCACACAGAAGGAAATATTCATCCTAACAGATAGACAGCTTCAATAACTTTAGAGTGACTTGTTCTGAACAAAAAATAAAATGAACCTAAGGCACTGAGGGTCTGCTGACTGGTACTTAGTCGACACGTTGTTGTCCTGGATCCAAGGAATGAAGGCTTGATCAAAATGTTTACGATTGCTGCAAAGCAATAATCAAAAGACAACAGCTGAAAAACACAAAGACAACGGTCAAAAAAACGTGTTTTCCACCACAATCAGCACACCTGCTGAGTGATTACCTGCGGCTCCTTTAAACCAAACATGATGCCACCTACTGTCAACTCTGGGTATTACACCAAACAAAATAAACAAAATGTGGCTCTGACACACTTTGTTTCAGAAGCACTTTAGTTTCTGTTGTTTTAATGGGCGATAAAAATAAAACCAAAATCTGTGCTCCAAAATACGTTTATTTTTATTATTGTTTCAAAGTCAAATTTACAATTTTTAAAAAATAAAACAAAAAAATTAAATTTAAGAAAAGTTCATTCAGTGTAAATAAAACTTAAATAAATAAATCAGTTCTTTTATTTTCAGTTTTTAAATCTCTAAACTTATAAAAATCAACTTGTTTTCTGTTAAATTTGTTTAAAATGTTTGTTTGTTTGTTTGTTTGTTTGTTTGTTTGTTTGTTTGTTTGTTTGTGTGGCTCACGGCGCCACCTGCTGGTCTGATTTTAAACTGTTGTTTGAAATCAGAACTTTTGTTGGACCCAGATTAAAGGTGAACCCGGTTCTGTTCTGACTTTATTTTTTGAATCTTCTTCCTGTCTGCAGACCATCAGCACCAAGAACTTCCATGGTACCAAGACCGTCTCGGACTTCGTCAGCGCCGGAGGTCCGAACTACAACCTGCTGCTGGACAACTGCCACCTGGGCTCCCGCCGGATGATGAGCCAGTGAACCGAACGGTTCTGGTGCCGACCCGGTTCTGAACAAACTGTTACCCAGGAGTCCGGTTCTGATCCGACTACAGAGGTTCTGATCCTGTTTTAAGTTTGATGCATTTTAAGAAAATAAATTAATTTAAAGAAGATAAAATGTCAAATTATTAACCTTTCAAAATAAAAGCTCAAATGTTTTAGAGTTTGTTTCTGGTTTCAGAACCTTTATTAAAGGTCCGGTGTAGACCTGCAGGACCAGGTCCAGGTCTAAAACTGAACCTTTATTAAAGGTCCGGTGTAGACCTGCAGGACCAGGTCCAGGTCTAAAACTGAACCTTTATTAATGGTCCGGTGTAGACCTGCAGGACCAGGTCCAGGTCTAAAACTGAACCTTTATTAAAGGTCC